CTATTATTAAACCGGAATTTACAAAATCTCAGCATATATATGACAAAGAGTTGAGAGGTGAGAAAATAGACTTAGGTCAAGTTAAAGGCACATATTGAAAGTCAAAAAAACAATATCGTTTTGTTTTCCATTCATTGCGAAATACAAAAAACCTTTATTATAATGAACATCATATACCGAATGCCCAAATTTTTTCAAACTGTTAAAAGTGAACCTGGTTTGGACATATATAGAATTAATACAGTTATGAACTTGAATAAGGCATTAAGAAGACAAATTCCGCGAAAGGATATCATTTCGTAGTTTCTTTACAACCGCTTTACAACTAACATGGTTAACAATAATAAAATAAAGTTCATGACAATTACTCAGTCAAATAAAGAAAACAAAAGTATATTCTAATGACCAATCATATTTAGATAAGTCATACTGTCCATGGTAGGCGAAGATTGAAATTGACAGCTCAAAGACTTTGGTCAGCCATCAAACTCACATTCTACGCCGCATCTCTTTTTCTCACATGCCGAACATTTTCGATCCCTGTACCTACGATTAAAGGACGAAATTCTATGGACTCTACTTCAAACTGTATATACAAGTTCACCTGCAACTGTGGTGACACCTATACAGGTAGAACCAACAGAATTTTCCAATGTTGTCGAAAAGAACATGTTCCTAAATGGTGACTAAATCATAAAGAAAATCCCAATGCGATTAATCTGAATAGAAATCCAGCATCATCTATTGCAAAACACTTATTAATGTCAGGTCACAAAATCAATATTAATGACTTTCACAATTATTTCACATAACTCTAATTCAAGATTGGTTATTGAAGGTGATGGAAGTACTGTGGGACGTATCCTAAAGTTTGTGGAAGCCCTAGCAATTAGAAAGTTTAAGCCACCTTTATGCGTTCAAAAACAATTCGTCATCACATTAAACCTCCCTTGGCAAATTTTGTTTTGATACCATAGCAGATGTACTATTGTAACAACAGAAGACAAGGGCCAGGCAACATTATTATAGATAAGTGAAGCAAACAAACACAGTCTTCTGATTGGTTGTTTCTCGCTTAAAGTTAATCTTTCATCTATTTGTGACTGTTTTTTGAATGTCAGATCATCTATATGTTAACTGTATCCACCTACGCAAAGTGTGCTGTAGTCGGTTTTTGAATAAGTCTTGTTCATACTATCTCACGACCAATCTTGATGAGGTAAACATTGACGTAAATTACTGTCTACCAATTTGGCTAGTAGACAGCTCTCACCACACTATTACCTCTGTTATTTGGTTTAGTGGTCTTCATTGTTACTTTGACCTTGAATATGTCCTTTAAACTTGAACTAAGTAGTCTATTTTCTCACCTCTTACCTCTTTATTAATTTCATATATATTCCTATGACAAGTCCGTGTGTGATCAGATTGTTCGAAATGTGTTGCCCAAATACATCACACGATTCACACAAATTGCGTCTTCTTATTGCTTTATCTAAACTGTGTGTAAAAAAAAAACAATAGACTTCACCCTTCGCCTACCATGGACAATATGACTTATCTAAATAAGATTGGTCATTAGTATGTACTTTTGTTTTTACTTAACTGAGTAGTTGTCATAACCTTTATTTTATTTTCAAGTATTGGTTTGGTAGGGATTTTGTTTAATTGCATGGAGGATTTCATCATGAGCTTGACATCAGTTAGAGAACCACTGGAAAACCTGGGAGTACTGGACAGCTGTTTCGTCCTAGTTTGGGACTCTTCAGCAGTATGCGCCCACCGGGATTCGAAACCAGGACCTTCTGGTTACAAGGCGAGCTCGTAGACCATTGAGCCACTGGGACCCGATCCAATGGTCCTTCACAGCGGGTTGAAGATAAGGCAGTAACTCATCTAAGAAGACATTGCGAAATGGTCGCGCTATGTCGTGAATTGGCAGAAGTTAGAATTCAAGGATCGGGTCCCAGTGGCTCAATGGTCTACGAGCTCGCCTTGTAACCATAAGGTCCTGGTTTCGAATCCCGGTGGGCGCATACTGCTGAAGAGTCCCAAACTAGGACGAAACAGCTGTCCAGTACTCCCAGGTTTTCCAGTGGTTCTCTAACTGATGTCAGCTCATGATGAAATCCTCCATGGTTTATTTTATTATTGTTAACCATGTTAGTTGTAAAGCGGTTGCAAAGAAACTACGAAATTTGTCTTTTTAATGCCTTATTCAAATTTATCACAGTTATAAACATCTAGATATGATAGTAATATTCAAATACAAGGAAACTTCATAAAACGCAGACATAAATACATCTAACATATGTAAACCATATACCATATTGGACTAAATAATAGAGATTTTAACATGTCTGATCTAAACTCACAAGATGGTTTGAACACTCTTCACCAAGATTAATACGTATTTTTTCAAATAACAATAGAGGAAGAATTGTGAATTAAAAAAGTTATGTACATTATAGCTAACTGTGTTCTTAATAATAGATCGGCTTCTTCTTAACCTGATTGCGTAATTCAGAAACTACGTGCTTTATTACTTAATTTATTAATAACTATAGGGCTTTTACTCAACGTCCAATAAATGTTGTGTGATTGCGCTCCTTAGGATGTCATATGGGAGAGTGTTCGGCAACGTGAACAGACAAACATTTTTCCATGCGCCCAATGTATTTATTTGCTTTGACAATCACATGCAAATTGATACACAAATTTTGTAGTGTCGAGGATTGATGTCTTACCTTTGCTTGTTGCTTGCACTATCCCCATTGTTGTGTCTGTTCGTAAAATTGAATTGCTTTGTCGAAGCGACGTTTCACCAATTGATGAGTAAGTAACGTTATTTCTCTTGAAAGGTAACTTTATAGCTGACAGGGTTAGGTGGTAAAAGAGCCAGTGGTGATCAAACCAAAACATGGCTTCATCTGTCAATGAAATCCACAACAGATAGTTTAAGCCAGCCAGTCACGTAGGAAGGTGTAGACTTCCTGACTGGTTGGGGTCCTCGGGATGGTGAACACCAATGGTTGAAGACAATAGGTGATATGGCTCAAAATCGTTTTCAGTGATGGCGCAGATGCATCCACTTCTTGTGACTTATAATACCCAATAAAACTATACTATTCTTTTTGTCTCATATCTCTGTTTATTGTCTCTATTTTGCATTTCTTTTTACTTTCTTCTTCTTCTTTTCTGGCCTTGTGTGCTAAGTGAAGTGTGGCGACTCAAACTGCTGCACATGGGTGTAAAGTTCTATGTTGAAACTAGTCAGCCAGTCAGTTATATAAACCCCTTATCTTAGAAACAGTCTGTGATATTACTTTTCCTTTACTATCCTTTGGATATTTATTTATAAACCTTTCTGAATAACTATTTTTCAATAATGTCTCCGTCAAGAATATCTCTTCGTAGCCTAGTCTGCTCCTCGAACATATCCTTCGTACTCTATCGAATCATGCTCTAACCAGATGCCTTTTGTATTGAACTGGGACGAAACTGCTGAAATGTATAAATATACTCGTCTATGTTGGCTTTATATATATATATATATATATATATATATATATATATATATCTTTTTATTCCCGTCATCCCGTTTAAGCACATTTACATTCAAGAAATATACCGTATCATTTTCTTCATGTTCCGCTGTAAAGTTTAAAATAACATGGCACGAATTAAATTCCTCTAACATTATCTTGGTCTCAACCTTATCTCTGTAAACTATGAATATGTCGTTCATATGCCCTGATGAAAATTCCTGGGCAACACCACCAACAGCAACAACAACAACTGACAACAATCAGCCAGCATAAATGGGAGGAACCTGAAAGAAACAACCTCTTTTACCTACCTGGGAAGCATCGTTTCAACTACATGCGGAACTGACGAGGATATCAAAGCAAGAATCGGAAAAGCAAGACAAGCTTTCACTACTCTCAAGTCTGTGTGGAGGTCAACAACATTCAGCATCAAAAATAAGATCCGGATTTTCAACTCCAATGTGAAGTCAGTCAGTGCTACTATACGGATCAGAGACTTGACGCCGCGTCATAAAGAGCATGTCAAACAAACTACAGACCTTCATTAACAGTTGTCTTCGCTCAATACTCAAGATCAGATGGCCGGCCAGAAAAGATCAGCAACAGGGATCTCTGGCAATGAGCGAACCAACCAGGAAGCGATTGTGAAACAAATATGCAGAAGGAAATGGAGATGGATTGGCCACACTCTGAGGAAACCATCAAGTGACATTACTGGACAAGCCCTTGAGTGGAACCCGAAAGAGAAGCGGCGAGTTGGTCGTCAGTACAAGGGTGACTTGGAGGAGGTCATGTGAAGAGGAGATGAAAACGTGTGGGCAGACTTGGAGCCAGGTGAAGACCCTAGCAGAGAACAGAACGCAATGGAGACGCATGGCTGAAGCCCTATGTTCCTGTAGGAATTAAAGGAAAATAATAATAATACCTCAATTATATATCAGCTTTTCCTATACACTCATTAAAGCCAGTATATTCTAAATTTGCCAGAAACATATCTGGAAATAGGGGCCCTAATGGGCTTCACATCGCTATGCTCTTTGTTTCAAAATACAGTTCATAACTGAATGTAAACTGTACCCCTCTAGTACAAATATACAGTAACTTTCTCAAACAGTGCTTAGGTATAAGACACTCATTTGCTACACCACAAATAAAGTCAGTCGTTTCCTTGGCGTGGACACTTGTAGATCATATATTCGTTGAAAGTGATACTTATTTGTTGTAACAATGTTCATGTGTTTGTTTGTATTTAACCTTAAAATGAAATTGTATGAATAACAATGTTTATAGGGGAGTATTCAGTTGATGAGTCCTTCTACCGAAATTTTGTGAATTTATTAAATACTGCTCTTTTTCCTAGTTGTTCTAGATAAATGTTTTATATTCTATAAGAATGGTGTTCAACGCGTATTTATCCAGAGTTATTGGTGTTTCTGTTCAATTTTCTTTCAGTTTAAACTCATACAATACAGCTTTATTAAGTCGTGGAGATGTTATCTGTCCTCATTGTGAAGGTTTAAAACAACCGAACATCCATATACCGTGTACAGCAGCTGCATGTTATGCATTAATTCGACATGTAGACTTTCCTATAATTGGTTCACGTTGTGTAATTGTTGGTCGTGGTCGTCTTGTTGGTGCACCTACAGCTGAATTATTATCAGGATCATGTGGAGCAACAATTACTCAGTGTCATTTACATTCAAATAATATAAATGAAGAGGTTATTCGTGGTGATATTGTGATTTCAGCAGTTGGGCATCCAGGATTAATTAAAGGTGAATGGATTAAACCTGGTGCATTAGTAATTGATTGCGGCTATTCGGTGATAAATGGTGAGTATTTTGATGCTTTATCCTTAACTTTGTCGACATTACTTGGAGGAAATTAAAGATATATATATATATATATATATATATACTTTTACGTTCCCAGTGGAACATAGGTCCGCCGGTCTGGATTCAACATAGAACTAGGCACCGAAGTGCAGCAGTTCGAGTTGCCACGTTCCAAATAGCACACAAAGGTTAACAAGAAAATGAGTGAAGAGAATCAATAGAGTTTTGACAATTATAAGAGTGAAACAGAATGAGTACTAGTAGAAAGTGATATGAAAGATTACAGAGACTGAATACATCTGCGTAAGCCATTGACTACGATTTTGAGCCATGTCACCTATTGTCTCCAGCCATTGATTCTTAGAGTCCCGAGGGCGGGCCCCAACCCGGAAGTCTGCATCTCCCCACCTGATTCAGTTTAACTGTCAAGGATTTCATGGATTGATGCCATGTTTTTGTTTGCCCACAGCTTACTCTTTTCCAACCTGCACCTATATAAGCTAGTAATGCCCGTCGGGGGGAGGCGATGGTTAGGCATGCGCAGCACGTGACCTAGCCATCTCAATCTATGTAACTTCATAGCCTCGTCGATTGATTTTCCCTCTTTGCCCAACACTCTACGCCTGACGACAACATTACTTACCTTATTATACCACCTAACATGAGAAAGAGATCGTAGACATCTATGATCAAAAACAGTCAACCTTTTCATGTCTTCAACTCGTATTGGCCATGTTTCAGAGCCATAGAGAAGGACGGAGCGAACTGCTGAGCAGTACACACGTCCCTTGGTTGATAGCCGGATGTCATTCCTGCGCCAGTGATGGTGTAAGTTAGCGAAAGCATCTCGAGCTTTTTGTATCCGTGCTGAGATTTCGTCACCAATCAATCCGTTGGTGCTGATACAACTTCCCAAATAGGTGAAGTGGTCAACATGTTCTATCACTTCACTCCCTATCACTAAGCTAGGGGTAGACGTAGTCCAGTCATTTAGCAGCATCTCACATTTTACAGGGGCGAATCACATGCCAAACATACGAAGATTGCTGCTCATGGTGTTCAGAAGACTCTGCATTTTGTCAGCATCTTCCCCTAACAGGACTATGTCATCTGCATATTCTAAGTTCATAAGACTATTCCCTGGTAACAGGTCGATTCCTAAGTCGTTAAGTTCAGTTAAGGATACTTCCATTAGCATATCTATGATGAAGTTAAACAGAAATGGGGGAAAGTGGACATCGTTGACGGACACCACTGGTTGTTATCAATTCAGATGACAATTCCCCATAAGCCCTTACACGGCTACGTGAGTTTGAGTAGAGTGCCTTGATTAGTGCAATGTACTTTCTTGGCACTCTCTTCACAGTCAAACATTGCTATAGTACTTTTCGATCCATGGAGTCGAAGGCCGCCTTCAAGTCAAGAAATATGGCAATTGTTGGACGCCGAAAAGTGTGTCTATGTTCTAGGTTTTCAAGCCTCTAGCTTGAATTTTCAGTAGCAGTAGTGTTTTATTTTTTTTACGGGATGGGGTTGCTAGCCTCATGCCCAACCTAACCTCTTCACCAGTCTTACTACTGGCTTAGTGAGGTAAACGAGTGCGTCGGCCGGCGTGGTCGGCCAGCATTCTACCGCCGTGCCACCGGTAAGGAATTCTTCTTGCATTTACGTTGGTATGGAAATAAGTTCACTTATTGGGACACTGGTGTTATACTTAAAGGTTGTTTCTAGTGAAAGTATGGAAGTAAACACTAACTACCTACATTGAGTTGTTTAAAACACTTTCACTTTTTACGTTATCAAAACACATACTTCCTACATTATTAGCATCAATAGATGCGCCACAAAAAATCTCATAGTTTCTCCTTGGACTGTGATACTACCTACTACTATTCCCTGACCAAAGCAAGTGGTGATTTTCTTAAAAGGTCACTCCGCGAGATTTTGATTTGAAGTGTAATGCACAAGGCAATGGAGTACCAGTTCCATGGTCCCTCATAACCATATCGCGTATGAACGCAGGTGATGAATAGGAGAGTTCCGCGTGTTTTTGAAAGTGTGTAGGCGGTTGTTACTTCCCGGCATACCCATACTGTGGAAGTTGATTTTTTCAAGTGTTGGTTACAGGATTTTCATCATGAGCTGACATTAGTTAGAGAACCATTGGAAAACCTGGGAGTACTGGACAGCCTAGTTTGGGACTCTTCAGCAGTACGCACCCACCGGGATTCGAACCCAGGACTTTCTGGTTACAAGGCGAGCTCGTATACCATTAAGCCACTGGGACCCGATCCAATGGCCCATGAATTCTAACTTCTGCCAATTCACGACATAGCGCGACCCCTAGCCAATGTCTTCTGCGAGTATTTATCCTCACACCCCACCTGCTGCACCCTACTGGTCACGACTTTTTTTTCTTTTTTTCTTGAGGTACCTGAAACAGAAAGAGAATTAGTGTTACGTGACCTCAGAGCTCAGGGGGCAATCTCTTGAGTCTGGTCACATATAGTCTGTTCGGATTGGATCATAGAGTTGTTTCTGTATTATTAACTCACCATTGGCTACGAACACCACTGCACGGCATCTGGTGATGTACAATATTTGGGGTTCACCTTTCTTGCCCTCCTGCCCATAGTGTAGAGAGAGGCAGCGTAGCTGGCATGCTGATGTTACCTTAGTGTCCACTCTCTTATTGTTTTTGTTTTTGCATATTCTTATATAAATAAGGTAATCGAAAGTATAAATCTTTCACTTATTTGTTGGTAAAAATTTCGAATGAGCTATTTGTTTTCCAAATGATGAAGTCACCCTTGGTATTTAGATAAAAAATGTAGGGAGACAGTAGAACTTATGTTGCATATTTAACCCTCTACATCCCCCATATTTTATACAACTGCTATTTAATTAACGAATTTTGTAACTGTACTCCTAAAGGATATTAATAACACTAGTAATAATTGTAACAATACTAGTGATAATGGATTATAGGCTTACACAGCAAATTTTCAATGAATATTGGATGAAGTATTGAGGCTTCCGTCCTTTAAGGTCTTTTATTCTCTGCTACCTATCGTTGTACTTGTTTTTCCTCCTCATATTCCTCATCTCTTTCGTTAAGACATTCATTGGTCAAATGTCAGGTGTTTGAATTTTTCCTGGCAGAATTCCATTGTATTCTACATGTGCATATTCCTAATTCTTTTATAATAATTCATACATACGACAAAATCGCTTTTCTGTACTGACTTGAAAAGCCTGCATCAACGAAGTGGTACGGTCGATGGTGGGTAAACTTGGATCTTCCTCTCAAAACATTCTCATGTAGCCACGTGTTCATAGCCTCTGTCAGGTAATTCTTATTCATAACCTTCATGAGGCTACAGTGTTCTTCACAAAAGTTGAAAGGGCGAATTTGAACGTTTGACGTTTACAACTGGCTTTGTGGACATACACTGGTCTACCTAGCTAGGGGATCTGAGAAACACTCAGATTCCAAAATTATTGTGTATATATGGGTTGCAGAATCCGAATGGATCAAATTGCGTATGAACCTGTTTTGGTCAATATGTGACGTTGCTGCACTAATTAGTGGGTGAGATTTCAAGTCTAAGGGTTGGAGGGGGAGTGAACCCCTAAGACAACCAATTGCTTCAGTAAGGGCGACCGGCCAGTATCCCAGTCATTGCACAAAATGTGAGATTTTGTGCAGCACATTTCTTGGTACCTATAAAGTTTGTGTTTTACAAATAATACTGACTCAAAAGATTTCCTGAAGGAGAGAATATTCGATATCATCTTCTGGCACATTAATTTTTTTTTGGTGACTATATCTCATCTGTGTGGAAAAGCGGCACCAATGTAAACTCTATTCATTTGTATGCTGTTTAACCACTCTGTCATGTAACAAGGATATGAATCTGTTCAGTAGCATCACTTTTTGTTTTCTGTATTGAGAACACTGAAGAGAAGTGAGACTGAACGTGTTATACCCTCATCCTGGTTGTGTACTGCTGATCAGTCCGCTCCGTCCTCCTTTATGGCTGTGAGACCTGACCATTGACAGTGGAAGACATGAAAAGATTAGCTGTCTTCGATCATAGGTGCCTGCGTTCTATCTCCCGTGTGAAGTGGTATAATAGGGTGAGCAATATTGAGGTTAGGCGTCGAGTGCTAGGTAAGGAGGGGAAATCAATCGACGAGGCTGTAAAATTACATCGACTGAGATGGTTAGGACATGTGTTACTCATGCCTGCCTAGTCATCGCCTTCCTCGACAATGGGCAATGTTAGCTGATATAAGGTCAGGCTGAAAAAGAGCTAGCGTCGGTCAAACCAAAACATGGCCACACCATTCAATGAAATCTACAACAGTTAGTCTAAGCCAGCCAGCCACGTAGGAAGGTGTAGACTTCCTGACTGGTTGGGGTCCTCGGGACGGTGAACACCAATGGTTGGAGACAATTGGTGATATGGCTCAAAATCATCGTTCTCAATGGCTGGCACAGATGCATCCACTCCTTGTGACTTATGATTTCCAATGAAACTGTTTTGTTCTTCGTTATTACTATACCTTTGTTTCACACCTCTGTTTACTGTCTCTAATATGCATTTCTCCTACTTTCTTCTCTTGCTTTGTGTGCTACATGGAGTGTGGCGACTTGAACTGCCGCACATATGTGCAAAGTTCTATGTCGAAAACAGACAGACAGACATCCTGGTTGTTATTTTCTTAAACATATTAATGCATAAAACTGAGATTACTTTCTTAGTTATCTGCATTCAGTCATACATACAAAATGTTTTTGTTTTCTCTCCTCACAGATCCTGAAAATATGAATAAACCACGATGTATTGGTGATGTAGAATTCGCATCAGCTTTAGAAAAGGCTAAATGGATCACACCAGTACCTGGTGGTGTTGGTCCAGTGTCAATTGCTATGTTATTTCGTAATACAGTGAACAGTGCTAAATGGTCTGTAGGCTTAACTAGTTCCTGTTGTACATGTTCTACTGATGTAGACGTTTTATCTAAAGAATATATTGATAAGAAAATGTCCGGTTAATGTTAAAATATATATATATATATTTATATAATTGAATACTGACTTTATTCATAACTTTAAATTGACTTGAAAGCAAAGCAAAGCAAACCAAACGATGTATTACATTACTTTGCTTCTTTAGTTCCTCACACATGTAAATAGAATTGTGGTATTTCTGTATTAATTAATTTGTTACTGTATCTGTTTATATTTACACCTCTGAGTGCATTTCACCTTATATCTGTCAATACATTGATGTACAAAAGGAATGACTATAATGACAACAGTTGACCCCTTGTTTTTATTATTCAAATAGAGAGAAAGAGAGGAAAATATAAACTAATTTAAAACGAATAAATTGGTTTTAATTTCTTTGATTTTAAAAATTTGATCGGAAAACATAAAGTTAGTTATTGTAGTCCAGATTATTGTATGTTTAGAAATCATAATATTATTATTATTACTATTCTGTCTGTCTGTCTGTCTGTTTTCGACATAGAACTTTGCACATATGTGCGGCAGTTCAGGTCGCCACAATCTATGTAGCACGCAAAGCAAGAGAAGGAAGTAGAAGAAATGCATAATATAGACAGTAAACAGAGGTGTGAGACAAAGGAGTAGTAATAACGAAGAACAAAATAGTTTCATCGGAAATCATAAGTCACAAGGAGTGGATGCATCTGCGCCACTGAGGACGATTTTGAGCCATATCACCAATTGTTTCCAACCATTTGTTTTTACCATCCCGAGGACCCCAACCAGGAAGTCTACATCTTCCTACGTGGCTTAGACTAACTGTTGTGGATTTCATTGATTGGTGCCATGTTTTGGTTTGACCACCGCTAGCTCTTTTCCAGCCTGGCCCTATATCAGCTAACATTGCCCGTCGAGGAAGGCGATGACTAGGCATACGTAACACATGTCCCAACCATCTCAGTCGATGTAATTTCACAGTCTCATCGATTGATTTCCCCGCCTTACCTAGCACTCGACGCCTAACCTCAGTATTGCTCACCTTATTATACCACTTCACGCGGGAGATAGAGCTCAGACACCTATGATCGAAGACAGCTAATCTTTTCATGTCTTCTGCTCTCAATGGCCAGGTCTCACAGCCATAAAGGAGGACGGAGCGGACTGTTGAGCAGTACACACGCCCTTTGGTCGATAGTCGGATATCGCGTCTACGCCAGAGACGGCGAAAACTGGCGAATGCGAACCTAGCCCTCTGTATTCGTGCTGAAATTTCGTCTGAGATCAACCCGTTGGGGCTGATGGTACTTCCCAAGTAATTGAAGCGGACAACGTGTTCTACCACTTCACTTCCTATTTCTAATCTAGGGGTCGATGAAGTCCAATCCTGCAGCATCACTTTACATTTAACAGGGGCGAGTTGCATGCCAAACATACGGAGATTGTTGCTCAGGGTGTTCAGTAGACTCTGCATTTTGTCAGAGTCCTCGCCTAGAAGGACTATATCGTCCGCATATTCTAAGTCAACGAGATTATTCCCTGGTAGCAAGTCAATCCCTGAGTCGCTGAAGTGTGATAGGGTTAAGTCCATTAGTACGTCTATGATGAAATTGAATAGGAATGGGGATAATGGGCATCCTTGACGGACGCCACTAGTCGTCACCACTTCAGATGACAACTCGCCATAAGCCCTCACCTGGCTGCATGAGTACGAGTAGAGTGCCTTGATCAGTGCAATGTATTTTCTTGGCATTCCCTTTACAGCCAAGCATCGCCAGAGCACCTCCCGGTCGACAGAATCGAATGCTGCCTTTAGGTCAAGAAATATAATGATTGTCGGACGCCGGTAGGAATGCCTATGTTCTAGAATCTGTCGCAGGGTGAAGATGTGGTCAATACACCCTCTACCTGGCCTAAAACCTGCCTGGTTTTCTCGTGTTTGTGCCTCCCGAGCGCCACTTAATCTACGCAGTATTATTGAGCCTAGGATTTTAGATACTATATTAGTCAAGCTAATCCCTCTGTGATTATCACAAGAAGACTTGTCTCCCTTCTTGTATATCGGGATGATCAGTGACTTACACCAACCCGATGGGACTTCCTCTGATTCCCAGACGCTGCCTAGGACCTCCGTTAACGCAGACAGTAAACTGTCTCCTCCGTACTTAAATACCTCTGGAGTCAATAAATCAGGTCCCGCTGCTTTGCCTAGCTTCAGATTGGTAACAGCTTTAGTAACCTCAGTTAAGGACGGGGGACCTGTGTCTACCTCCCATTCAGGGAGGTGTTGGATGTTCGGCAGGCTAAGTGTGGCTGTGGGCCAATTAAACTGCTCCTCATAGTGTTCTTTCCAGCGCTCCAGACGTCTATCCTGGGAGCTAATTAAGGTGCCATTTTTCTCGGAGATTGTTTCGCTTATCATTTGCCTTTTACCACCTGTTTCCCTGATAAGCCTGAATAGTCGTCTGGTGTTGCCTATCGCCGATGCTTTTTCCATCTCTTTCGCCTTTGTCAACCACCACTGTCCACGGTCCTTGCGGAGACTTTTCGTAAGTTTCCTCTTGTGCAGCTTTCGCTTCTCATTGAATTCGGAGCTCGCCGGGATAAGTCTTCTAGCATCTATCAGTTCGGATGAGGCAGTCGAAATCCAATGGTTTTTACTCACCCTTGGATTTACCTTATTCACAGCTTTTACAGCTGTATCTATGGCTGATTGAATATTCTTCCAGGCTTCTTCAGGGTGAGCGCAGCTGTCGAACTCAGATATGTGTTTAGCTAGTTCTTCCTCAAATAGGGACTTAGTTCCCTGGTCGAGCTGGGGACGTGATGGGTTTACCGCCAGCTGTTTCCTACGTCCGTTCAGTCGTAAGCACACACGAGCGCGAACCAGTGCGTGATCGGTATCTACACACGTGTTCCAGAAGGAGCGACAATCTCCGACCGACCCACGCCAACGATAGCTTATTGCTATGTGGTGTATTTGTGTCCAGCGTTGATTTGATGATGGGGGTCGCCAGGTCAAACAGTGTCTCTCCTTGTGTTTGAAGTTAGTGCTTACAAGAAACAAGTGATTATCTGAACAGAACTGTAGGAGACGGTCACCGTTGTCGGTTCGCTGGCACGGAATTCCGTATGTGCCACCGACATTCTTCTCAGATTGACACAATTTCCCCACTTGAGCATTAAAGTCACCAGCTAAAACGACTATATCTGAGCGTTTAGCCTTTCGCAGCAAACTAGACAGCTTTTGGTATAACTCATCCTTCGTTTCGTCCGAACTGCAGTCAGTGGGGGCGTAGGCGGAGATTACGAAAAGGCATCGGCGGGTAGTGCAGTCCTTTCTCCTTTTCACTGATCCGTTCAGGCGGACAGCACACATTCGGCTATCTACCGGGATCCAGTCAAGTAGTGTCTTTTCTGCTCTAGTACTTAAAGCTATCCCAACACCAGCTAATCCTCGTGAGCTAGCTGTGGCATCTCCTGACACCCTCAAGGTGAATTTTGCAGATTCATCCTGTTGGCCAGGTGGGGTTAGGTGAATAACCACACTTGGGTCCTGTATGCGTGTTTCTGAAACACAACATACATCAATGGCTCTGGATGCCAGAGTCTTGGCTAGTGATGCTTGTTGTCCTATTTGGCAAAGTGTCCTAACATTAAATGCTCCTATATAAAATTGGTGGCGTGGTTTTAGGAGGCTATCGGTGGTGGCTTTTTGGCTTCCATCGTTATCAGTGCGCACAGAGTGAAGAGGAAGTAGAGGAGTTGCATTGGTAGAAGGAAGGCAAGATAGTAGAGATGAAGATGAAGACAAAGATGAGCGAGGATTAGAGGGGTTTTGCGTGCACTTCGGATTGTGAGGGCGATTGTTACTTCCCGGCTGCCCACACCGTTGAATTTGGTTGCGTGACCGCAGAGCCCAGGGGACAACTGCTTGAGGCCGGTCACACACGGCCTGTTTTCGTTTGTTCCTTTTTATTTGGTGTGTCTCAGTAGCGTATTTATCACTTCTGCCCTGTGTTACAGCAGCAGAAAGCGCGGTCGTTGTTAATCCGGGCCCCGACCGATCCGGCATGATATTTTGTGATTTATTTGAAATCATAGGATAGGATTGGGTAACTGCTTTTAGTCTAACTGCTATCCAAACAACCTTTCTGGCATGGTAGGACCTGCAGGAACATAAGTTCCAGCCAGTATAGCTTGTTGGGTCATTGCAGTGTTCAAGCCCGACCACCACGTCAAGGTAGCAGCTTTCGGTCGGGATTATTACTATTACTATTACTTTACTTGAAAATCGCTTCCACTCTAAGTTATTCTGTGTTTTCGTCATCCTTCCAGTTGCTTTTATATTTTCCATTTTGGAATTATACTCTACCACAGTGCACAAGTTCTAAACTTATATCAATAATATTCCACCACCGCATTCAGCTAATAGATATGTAGACTTTAATTGATCTCATTCGTTGTCTGTAAAGGCGAGCTTAGTTAAGTGTCTGACAAACCGAGCAGTAGCACTAAGCAGTACAAGAAAAGACCTACATGATGAAATGAAACAGATAGAAGAATAACTGGTTGGTGTTGAATAACTATGCTATGAAATTCTTTAGGAAGATCAGAAAAGGTGAGAAGCAAAATGAAAATAATGGTGAAACTAATAACTATAACATAAATGAGAGAGAATATAAGACATCTACAGTCCTAGGATATAAGGAGGGGACATCTGAGACCCTTCCTACGTAGAATTCTCAATAAAGTAGGAATTAGAGTGGCATTCCAACCTACAAACTCACTCAGGGACAAGGTCTGTAGGCTAAAGGCCCCTGTGTGTTGACCCAATTAAACAAAATAATATAATTTACAAAATACCTTACAATGACTGTGAGTTAAGTTAACTACATAGGTCAAACTAGTAGATCGGGGGTAGTTAGATTGTCAAAACATAAGAATTTAGTTAAAGTTAGAATGACTGACTCCACGAAGATAAGTAATTTAGAAGGAACCTCAGCAGTTGCACTGCATGCATTAACACACAACCACACAATAGGGTG